GGAAACTCGAGGACTGTGCCTACCTGATGAGCCCCAAGAGGAACGAAGCCCGTCGTGGGCTGTCGACGGATTTTCAGGAACCTTATGAGATATAGAGAGATTTACTTGCACCCATTCTTTTGTGAAATCGGCTATGCAAGGGCCAATACCCTACAAGTTCGTCTGACCATTCCTCAAAGCCCATTGTCGGACCGACTACATTCTCATTCCCAGTATCAACTGCAGCGCAGGACAGTTCCGGCTGCCAAGAGTGGATGCTGGCAAGAACGTGATGGTGATATTGTACGCTCTATTTCAGAGCGTACAACCACTGACTACGTTTTATGCCCGGGGAGTACGTAGAGGAATGACGTTTCCAAACGCAGGCCGAGAGATCAATTGAAATACGAAAAAGTGTTTTGGATATCCGAAGGACAGAATGCGGCTTAGTTTGACTAAACAGGTCAGAGCCGAATTCAAGTCTATATCTGATCTATCGATTTTTCTTAGCTTAGGCTGTGTGACATACCAGTATTTCAGATCTCGTAATTCCTACGGTTGCTTGATGACGGAACACACAAGTCAGAGTGTTGGTGAAAGCCCTACGACCGCGCAAAACCGGTATCACCCTGCTTTGGGTTCATCGGGTAGGCGCAGTCTTCGAGTTTCCATCAACCTTCAAGTACAGCATAAAGTGGTGGGCAGTCGAAGCATTTTCAGCAACCCTATGAACAATCAACAATGCTGCACTGTGACCATGCGAACAGATGACATTTCTAGGAAAGTAGAGAGGTTTGCGCAGGTGGATATCACTTCACGACATTAGAACAGCGGGAATCCTCATCATCATTATAACATCATTTCCAATAGACCGACAGATGACATGTTGATTCTTCCATAAATCTCTTGTAATAGCCAGCTAGGAGATGGTCTTCCGAAAGAATAACACACAAAACTAAAGTCAGGGCTACACCCAGGGCCTTGGGAATTCAGCGTAACATGTAAGGTAGTTTTCTATAACTGACAAGATCGCAAACGACCCGTATAAACACTGTGAGGTTGGTCCGTGGGTGAAGTGTCCGTTCTACATTTCTTTAGAAAACTCACTGCCAGTTTACCGTTGTTAAACCGTAGCTGAAGTCTTCTGCGTCAACAGCTGTACCATCCGTTGTGGTCCCTAGATTCATCGTTTAACGTGGAGCATGTGTCATACTTCGATTAACGAGGAACCAGCACGATGGCACGCTGTAGATGACTGCAAGGTGCAGTGTAACGACTCACATTAACGTGCAACAGTATGTTATCAATCAATCAATCAATCGGGGTCGAGATGCCCCAAGTGGTTAGAGCGCGAATTTACTGACCGGAAGTTCCGTGGTTCGAACCCGACCTCTGCCTCTAGACTTCTCCTGTCTAGGCTTGGGCAACCTGACAGTATCCCAGCTCTCGTGCAACCTTCGGGTGGCGTGGCTGTTAGGCGCCGAAAAGGTGCAATCAATCAATCTATCTATCTATCAATCAACAGATCATTCACCTGTGGCACCTGTTCGGTGCCTTACTGCCATGCCACCCGAAAGAAGCACGGGGTTTGAGATACTGCCAACTTGTCCAAGCTTGGACGGGAGCATTCGGGGTGACGAGGTTGGTCTTTAACCACGGACTTTCGGTCAGTAAGTTCGCTCCTTGATCACTGAGCTACCTCGAGTTGAAAATTTGGAAAATCTGAAAGACTCTTCTAAGGTATTTTTATATGTTACAACCCAACTACTACTGCTTGGTCGCTGATTACCAGGCCATATAAAACAAGAAGTGACTCACATGCGGATGCTTCGCTTGATAGTGAGCTTGACGGAGCTTCACGGAAGCGAACGCCTCTCCACATTCCCTGCACTTGTGTGGGTAAGTTCCTCCGTGTGCGAACTGTCGGTGACTACGTAAAGCTTGTATCGTGGGAAATCCTGCAGGACACGCATTACACAAACACTTTCGGCTCAGCTTTGCCAAGTCCACGGATTGCTGTTTGTTCTCCTCCGTTCCGTTGGCCACTAGAACCCGAGATTTACCTTTGCTGGTTTTCTGGTTATTCGGTTTCTCATCCTTCTCGTCAAGTACACGGCCCACTTCGGCCGCCAGGCCAAGTACAGTTTCTTTTGGTGCGTCTGATTTGAACCACAATTCTGGCACTTCGGCCGGTTTCTTTTGAACTCCGTGCGTACGGATGTGACGTGTCAGTTGGGATCTGGATGACAACGCAAATCCACACAACCGACAAACAAACGGTCTTTCACCACTATGTGACCGCAAATGTTCGTTGAGATGAATCTGCTGACGGTAGGCCTTAGGACAGTGCGGACACTTGAACGGTTTCTCACCGGTATGGACACGAAGATGCTTCTCTCGACCACTGGCACGACTGAATTTTTTAGAACACACGGGACAGGAAAATCGTCCACCGTTGTTGTGCATTTCCATGTGTTCCGTAAGTGAACTGCGTCTGAGAAGTTTACTGCACACAGGGCATTGTACATGCTCGCGCGATCTGCATCGTTTTTTATCCATCGGTTTACTGTCTTTCACCTTGGGTGGAGCGGGAAGAGGAATTATCCCAACGTCAATAGGTGGTGGCTTGGGAACTGCGGGTATGGGTTTTGATTTTCGTTGGGGTCGATTGGGTGACGGAGAATCGGCAGGATCTTGCTCAGGCTTTGTCAGTGGTGCGGGTTTACACAACGAAGAGGACGACGAGTCACACGGTGATGGAGCTTTTATCATCTCTAGGGAGTTGGTCGGTTCTGACAGCGTCGACTTTACATTAACCGTTGCTGGCTGCGACACAGGTACTACTATATTTCTGTCTTCCGTCAGTGCCTTTTGTATGGACTGTGGTTCTGGCTTCGACGAGGGAATACAAACACTAAGTGGTGACGATGTGGAAGTTGGCAGTGATATGGTAAATCCTGGATCTGATCCCACTTTGGGAGAATTTGTCTCTATGACAGGATGTCCTGGTTTAGTCGTTGGGGCTGTGACGACCAACGATGGTCTCGATTGTTCAGCCGTGCTTGATAGTGATACGACTGCTCCCGGTGGGGTGACTTTCGGGACGGTTCTTTGTGGTAGCGCTTGTACTGCTTTCTTTATCGGCGACGAGCTAACGGGTGTTGCGACCGTTTGTTGCATAGTTTTCTGCACTTTTGAGTTCCATATAGAACTTGGCGTTGGAATTCTGCTTTTTGGCAACGGTTTTTGTACAGTCCATGCTCTTGGTCTAGATTTAGCAATCAGGATACCCATCGGCATTCGGGGTAGCTGTGCACTTCGATTCAGAGGTAAACTCGGACCAGATATCGGGGTTACGGGCTTATATTTCACAGCTGTCTTTGCATTAATCATCATCGGTTCCGGGACTGGTTTCGGAAGGGAAGGTAACGACAATCCTAACGGTGCGATCAGAGGTTGCATCGCTTGTGGTAGTGGGAGGTTTGTTCCAGATCCCATGGCAGCCATCGTTGCTGCCGCCTGTGCGAGTAGTGCTGCTATTTGCATGTTTGGTGTACAGCCGGATGGCGTTACACCAGCAAGTGCAGACAAACTGGATGTAAGGTCTTGTGAGGAACTACTCAAATCTTCATCAGTCTGCTTTACTGTTTGTTCCACAAATTCATCACCAGGAAACTCATCATCATCTTCATCCTCTGTTGGACTGCTACTGTCTTCATGAATTTTCTGAGTTTGTGGTGTCACTTTGAATCGAGGCATTGGGACTTTGACAGCCGCTTGCTTGGCGGTTTCCACTGCAATGTGAGACCAAATAAAGACTGGCCAGTTAGATGGTTAGAACAACGCTATATCCAACCGACTGGAGTGAATGCGTCTGACTGCTGTGGGTGTGTCGCTTAACATGCGCGTGTGTGAACGTGCGCCTTTACGCATATAGCCATCACTCGAACCCGGGCCAATCAATAGGACCGGTGTGTGAATCCGATTGGTCCACATTCCCACACGCCCACACACTAGTTTTGAAGCCTAAGCTCGAACCAGCAAACCAGGGCTCGAACCGTGGCTAATCAATGCAGCTGCATCCGCTAAGGACAGGGACACAGGCAAGACCGGGTGAGGATGAATACTGCGCGGTCGTGTGTGTCTTAGCTAGTAGGAAGCAGCGCATTTGCTGGATAGCATAAAAGCCTGTCTTGAAAACCTCCGACTGGTAGTGAGGCAACACGATCTTTCCGCTCCAGTTAGGTGGTACGGAAAATAATGCATACTGAATTCTGAGTGGAGAGAAAGTGGAAGTTTTTACGTGAGCGCGTACCGCCCTACTCTAAAAACACGTTAATTTAGAACATTCCGGCACCCAACTGAGCACTGAAAGACAGTCCGCGAAGTGACTATGAAGGCAGTGGTGTTTGGTGATTAGGTTAGTTACTGTTCGGCTTAGGTAACCAAACTGAACAACTCATAAGAAAATCAATCGAATAGGGAAATGGCTCAAAAGGGATCGCGAATAACTCCGAAATGAGGCTTTTCCCGTTCAAGGCTGCACCTACAAGGTATCTAACGTGGTGATCGTTGATCATTGTTCAAATCGTTCAGTTTAAAGAATCAATAGCATGCTGAGTTGAACTGCTGGTTTTGAAATCTATTAATAGATTTACGCCAAGCTTACCTGTCCGTCCTAAGACCACCAACCTGTCTGGTAAATCCCAGCGTTGCAGCAATTTGGCATGCATAGTATCGCCGTGAATGAATACGAACCAATGATCAGCGTATGAGGCTTGTTCAGCAATCTCCGGTAGGGCGAAGGTTACGGTGAAAGTTCTGTTTCTGACAGCTTTTGTGGCCATTCCATAAGGGTTACTTCATTTCGGAAAAAGATCCATTTTGGGAATCACCATATTCATAATCCAACTCACAGGCGGATCCAAACAAGGCACTTCACTAAATTTGTACTTTCAAATGTAGTAGCTGACAATTTCGCCCCATCTTATCAGGAAGGAACACCCTCACTTAGAGACAATCCTGGTACTCCCAGTCAGTGTGGTTTCAAGAGGGAGCAGACGTCCTGGTCAATCAAGCATCATAAAATTAAGTATTTAAAGCCTGAACGAACTATGTCAATCTCCCAAATAAGTGATATTTGTATGAGCAGCCACGGCACTCCCCCCTAGTTTAAGTCCCTTTCGGTGCCCAACTGCCATGCCATCTGAAGGAAGCACGAAGGCTGGGATACTGTCTAAGTTTCCCAAGCCTAGACAGGGGAAGTCGAGACTAAGAGGTCGGGTTCGAACCACGGACCTTCCAGTCAGTAAATTCGCACCCCTGAGCCATCTCGTCCCCCTGAGGGGGTTACTGTACGTCGAAGCGACAAGGCCCCAGGTTGCGCGCAAAGTGGTACAAAAATATTAATGCCGAGGGGAATTGACTTCAGAATGCTTGGCCTGAATTGTTTTCACATCTCTGGGCACCCAAAAACATGAAATGATGGAATTTCGCAGACTACCAGTTGTGCTTTTTGTATTTGTATTCGTTTTCATAGTCGGAATCAAACCAGTCGGTTCACCTGCTTTGATTAACTGTCGCCTAACTCACCGTTGGAGGGCGGAGAAAACAAATGAAGGTGGACCAAATCTCTTAGTTTTCGATCAGCGTTTGTGACAACCAGACCGGACAGCTTCGATCGGATTCAAATTCACACTGAGAACGAGGCACCCAATGGCCATGAATTTTCGAAATAACAAATAGTTTGGTGGAGTTGATCACCACGATGTCATGTTGGAAGATCGTGGATCTGAAACGTCTGTCAAGAGCCAAACAAGGAACAGAGATGACTATGGCCCTAACTCATGTTCTGGCTGCTTGTTTTTGCTGAACAATTGTTGATTAAGCCCATTCTTGTGCAAAGACGCCTACCAACTAACCAAAAATCAATTTTCGCAGGCTTACGACAGAAGTTTTATATTACTTGGCGTCAGCCAGTCTATCAGATTTACATAAAAGGAACTTTGCTCCTGATATCCAGTCGTCGTATTCCATGTTCCAGATAACGTGCTTCCTGTTGGCCTGGTTTGGAATCCTACGTTCCTGGTTAGGCCGAATTTCCAGCGCACTCCCCATTAGGCCGCGAGCCACGTGAACAAGATTTCTCGATTCAGTACGTATCCAAGGTCGTCTCCCGCATGTGATTCGTGTTCGGCAATAGCACAGTTCGCGCGTATTCTGAAGTGTGACCGTATGCGGTGTGATGCGGTACGCTCCTGGTGACATGTTTTTTTTCTGCAGTTCGTGTGCGGTACGCTCTGACATGTTTTTTTTCTGCAGTTCGTGTGACGGCTCTTATGGGAGTTTTTCGTGTTTTACCCGATATGCTTGGTTTGACTTGTTCGAGAGACTACCTCATTGACCGTCCTATACATCCCTCAGAATCACCACAGTTTACTTGTGTTGACTGTCCCTTCTTATGCCACAACTGAACTGAGCTGTGATAGTTTTTTTTCATCCACTGTTTGCCGGAGTCCTCTTATGTGTATGTCAAAACTGGCATCTCACTGCTTCAACGCCGAGCCTGTTTTCCGTGTCGCAGACAAGCTGGCACAATTCTACCTACCTACCTATTGCTCGTGCGACTGTGATCGGTCAGGTGGTGGGCAAATGTGTCCACAACTCCATGATTAGATCTGCTCGCTTCGGTCTCTCTCAGTTTTCCCCACTTTTGACAGCTCATTCGATGGTTGAAGTTGGCCTGCTTCACAGCTATAGCCAACGAATGATGCCAAGAAGAAGGCGGGATGCTCCGACCATACCGGTCGTTTGGCAGGCGAGGTAAGCGGACTACCGCTGTCATCACAGTAATAGTCGAACAGTTAAACATGCTTAGCCTTCAGTGATGAGCACATCCAACGCCTCAGACAACAAATTAGTGACTCGATTGCACCTATCAGGGCTCTGGTATACTTGATGTGCACGTCAGACGACCGGAGTTCAAAGCCTGACAGTCAAAGATTATGAACAGCTGAAGAGTTCACATTGGAGCGAAGATCAGAATAATCACCCAAGGATTTGGGGGGTATGTAGCTACCCGGTCACCCACACACTTGACTGTTCAGCCCATGGTCGCTCACTCAATCACGAGGCTTGTCTTTTTTCATACTCACAAACACGTCACATCAAGGTGACTCATCGGACATCGATTATCTGTATCGTCTAGTGAGCGTAGCAACCACTCATGTGCTGTCACGCCCACGTACACGCGAACGGACCTACATATAGGGAAACCGAACGATTTCAGCACACACAGACTCGCGCGCGCGCAGGGAGCAGGAAGTCAACCACTCTCCACGTGTAGCAGCTAAACTGCGAAGAAAACACGTTTCGCCGTCCGGACTTTCACCAAGGGACTCTCACATACGATAAGTTCCCTTTTGACTTGCTCCACATTTTATATCGCCTTTATTTTATACATGTTACAAGTCGCTTCTGTAAACTGTCAGCCACAGTGAAGACATTTATTAGTGCATATACCTTCTGATTTGTATTATGGACATAATCAGCAGCGGTGCACTGATTAGTGTTCATAAGGGAATGGGATATGCATACGAGATTACCAAACAAGCCCTAGAACTACTCATAAGTAACGCAGCTGGTGTAGGCGCGGAAGGAACGAAATAAGTGCAACGACTCCCGTCACTGAAAAGATGACGATGTGACAAGGATTTAAAATCTATCGGCGAAATAAGTTGGAGGTGATATAACGACGAAGACGTTACTTCAAACAAATATCCGCTCCAGAAGTGGTTTTATTGATTGGGGAACTGATCTAAAGAATCTATCTGGGAAATGTGCACTTCAATCAAGGCATTCCAGAACCTCCCTTACTTCGTTTTTTTATTCCAAAGAACAAGGAATAACAACGGAACTTCCGGTATATCCGGTTGAGCGAATTATCTTTGTGGATGATTTAGAACAGAAAGTACTGACCGAACTCCTGCACGTCCAACTGTAACACCTGAAGGAAGCACGAGGGCTGGGATACCGTCAGGTTTCCCAAGCCTAGACAGGGAAAGTCGAGATGCAGAGACCGGGTTCGAACCACGGACCTTCTGGAACTTCACGCTCCAACCACTGAGCCACCACTCCTGCACCCACCGAATGCATTTTAGTGTTACAGACCTTGTTATGACAAGGTCTGTGAATTTTACAACTAACTAAATGACCTGAATGTTCACATCGAATTTAGTATGGAGATCGGGTCAACTTCGAGTACACTATCTTGGTGGGAAACTAAAAAAGCTGTAGAATACCAACAGCCATCTTATGGTGGTCTTGGCAGAGTAAACCGCTCGGACAGCAGTTCAAAGGGAAGCAAACAACGGGATTAGAGATAATGAATATCTAGCTAGTCAACTTAAGGGTCATTTGAAAAATGCTTTGGTACCTGTGGCAGAACCCAATAGGGAATGGTTTGGGACTGCTGTTATTCCTTAAAAGCCAAGAAGAACTTTAACCTAGGCTAAAATGAGAGTAGCAGTCAATAACGACAGCGCTGCACGCTCTGTACAATTGCAATTGACTGATCACGTCCCGGTAGACCGAACCAGGAGCTTTGTTTACAAAATCAAATACAACGACTGCACCAAAGTGTGTGCAGGACAGACGGTTAGAGATGAGCTTGATTCCGTGTGTGTGTGTGTGTGTGTGTGTGTGTGTGTGTGTGTGGAACGTCGATAAAATTGCAAGAAGGAAATGGACAAGTTAATGGGCTCATTCGCTATACACGATCAAACTTCAAAAAGAAAGCCTCAGAAAACAAGCTAACCAGTGACTATCTTGTCCGGTGTCTGTTCCGGAGACAACGCCTGCTTAGTTAGTGTTCCCCAGTTTCAAAATAACTTGCTTAGTTCAAGATAATATATCACTCCTTAATGTCGGTTTCCTCACTCACTGCAAACCGTGGAACATTGTGAGAAAAGATATCATATCTAGGAATCGAAGCAAGTGCCTCTCGGACCATACGGGAAATAACCGCTGTATTGGATTGTATCACAATGGGGTTTTTTCCCTAGATGAGTCTCTTGTCTTAACAAACGGAATTTGATTTTGACGAATACTCTCATGTGCACACAAAAATGGTTTTGACAGGAGACTCAACTGAATTTCCCATTCCTAGTGGCCCACTTCAACTTAATGTTCAGTGGACCATCATAAACGAGAGGTGAGGTGGATTCAGTTGAGTCTCCTGTCAAAACCCAATTCGGTTACAAATTCATGAAGTCTATCTGACCAATACGGATTCAGATAGAACATAAGTTTGAGGGACTGCGCCTACCTGATAAGACCGAAGTGGAAGGGCGCTACCGGTCGCGGGTTGTCGAAGAGTTTTCAGCAATCTTATGAGGATTGTGTTAAGTTAAGAGAGTTGATATAATTATATTGGATGAGTGCTGCCGAAGTAGGGAACTACAACAATCCCCAGAAAAAAGGTAGCCGCGGGAATATGGAGGCTACCGCTTATAATGTGGATGACGCATACAAAGGCCTTCAGAATGGATGTTCGTAACAAAAGCTTGCACGCACCAGCAGGAGAATAAATTTAGCAGTGACCAACAGCAAGATCACTAACAACGGGCGTCCGCCCACTTCCTCCAACCAAAAAGGCGCTAACCTACGAGGTTCACTGTCAAATGTAGTCTTCACAGTTTCCTTGACTCAACATTGTTGTATCGTGGGTTACGCCTGCACTGAGCCTGCCAGACTACGCAATAAGGAGAAGACAGAGAACTGGGTCAGAACAACACATACAGAGCTTCTGTGTACATATATAGGATGACTAAATTGCCAAACATGGTCG